AATTTTTATTTTATACTTTCCTACCTTTAAATAATAAGTATTTTGGTTTTTGTCAAAAATGGGAATTTTATCAAGAAGTTTGCTGAAGTTCCTCCTAATAAAAGATACTTTTTCCCCCTAAAAAGTGCAGGAAAATTTTCCAAAGGTGAACTGGTGGCAGGAATCTTTGTCACTTCTGTTTTATGACATATAAAGTCTGTGCTCCTGCTGTGTCGTAATGTCCAATAAGACAAAGGATCCCTCTGGGTCTACCCTAATCAGTAGTGTTCAATATACCTTGATGATCCAAAAGAGTGCATATATATAAAGCTTCTAAAACCTGTCTTAAATGCTGAGAATTTCTGGTTTCAATAGCAAATGTGGATGTTGCAAAAATATGCCATAAAACTACTCACCTGGGATGGTATTGGTTGTAAACTAACACTGGAGGGCATGAGACTATTTCAACATGGAAAGGGCCCTTGAGTGAGTTAAACTCCCTGATGGGCCCAGGGATGAACAGAGGTGACCGAGCTTTGAGATTTTAAGTTCCCCCCAAAAAAGTCCCCAGCACATATTTTATGTTCATCTGTGTTTTAAATGGACAGGGTCAAGTTTTTCCTCTTTCTTTCTTTTTTTGAAGAAAGATTTGGTGGGGCCAGCAGGGTAGTTAAGGCGCTGAACTCCCACATGGCCAGTCATGGTTCAAGTCTCATGAAATAAATAAATAAACTTCAAAAAAAATCCCTGATTTATATTTGATTTTGGCCTTTGTCACCATTGTTCCTTCTGTCCTCTTTTCTACCCATTGATTCATCAGCATTAAATAAAGGCAATTTTCAATGATATTCTGTGATCCCTTGAAAAAGAATTCTGCAGGAAGTAAAGTAAAAAGAAATAAGCTGCTGTCACACTTGGCCTCAGCATTTTGCTCCAGAGGTGATACTGTTATCGCCAGGAAACTCTCTCTCTCTCATTTTATATATATATATACACACACACACACAATATATGTATTACAATATATATACACACACATACACTTTCCCTCTTTTATAAAAACTTGACCCTAACCAAAGTAAAATGTTCTACTTGCATGTTAAAAAGGAAAAAAAATACATATATATGTGTGTGTGTGTGTGTGTGTATATATATATATAAAACCAGGAAGCAAAATAAAATACATGGGAACTTAAAGCAAATACATGCTTATTAACATTTCAGAAAGAAGTCAAGTCGAATAGAATTTGAATGCCATGAAAGCTTCTGAATAATTGTAAGATTGCTCTGGAGAATTAAGGAAACCATATTTTGGGTATGGCCAGATAGAATTTCCTAGCTCCTCCTCCTCTTTCTCCTAATATGAAATGTCATCACTGGACATCATCAAATCATTTTGAGAGGCCACTGTTGTTTGTTTCTATAAGGAAAATAATATAAATATGGGTAACAGAGGTACAAGGTAGAAAAAAATTCTCTTTAGTCTTTCTTAGTTTGCACATTATAAGAAAGAAAAAAAATCAAAGATAAACACAAATCAAGATTTTTCAGAATATATAGAGTTAACTTTTATCATTTTAATCATCAAAGGATCTTTAATTAAAGGTCATTGAAAATCTATTTATAAACAAATGAAATATCTCCCCTTTCCCTTTTTTCCTTTCTCTATTTAAAAGGGAACTAATGATATTATTTTAAAGGGAAGCTCAACTAACCAGCAGTTCAAAAAAGATCATGGTTTTGGAGCTTCACTACTAATTCTTTAATTAGTCTAATTATGTAACTAAGTACTCTGCATTTCTGAAGGGTGTGATACCACACATAATAAAGTTTTACAGAGAGAAATGTTAATAGCAGCAGGAAAAGCAGAATGTTCATGATTACAACTGTTTATATTTTCTTTTTGAAGGGCAGGTACTTGCTGCTGTTGGTGGGATTATAGATCTCAGCTTATAAAAACACTGGGTGAACCTGATTCTCCCTTTATGAGAAGAAAATGATCAGAAATGTCCAAGTATTTATGGTATATTCAAACAAATCTTCATTTCATGTGGTCATGAATAATTTTAAGATACATCTTTCGAATCCATTAGGCAATAAGCTTTAATAATAAAAGTATAGAGAGAATCTTGATTTATATAATTTGCTAATCATAATTCCACTTAATAAATGAGCATGTGGATTATCACTGGCCTTTCAGATTTTACGTGTCCTGTCACAGCGAAAGGGGGAGAGTATTTATTTCATGAGAAAATAGCTCACTTATGGAAGGGTAGGTCATCTCAGGGAACTAGCTGTTCCAGAGACCGTTTCTATTTATCACACAGTAATCCCAAGGGTTCTATGTTCTCATAACTGTGCTTCTAAAAACTCATACTGACTGGTTTTTAAAATAGTGAGTAAAAAAGATAAGTTATAGTAAACTTTGAGATTGTGTCTTTCCTAAATAAATTATTAAAATAATAGATTGTCTGAAGATTGAAATTATTTTCTCCTTCTACGTAAAGAGATTTATCTGCATGACATTTTATTTTATTTATGATGCTCAAATGACCATTTGCTGAGGAAAATGAAGCTGAGCGTAACGAGATTTATAGGCATCAACACCAGGTTTCTAGAGGATGGAGCAGTTTTATTCACTTGTAGCTGCTTGGACAAACCTGAGAGCTTAGCTCATTATTAAACTCAACAGTTTGGTTATTCAAAACTACACCATGGATCATCTTAGAAACTAGAACTTAGCTTTTTAACTTAATCTTCCTTTATCTTTTTTTTTTTTTTGGTTTATATTTGCGATAACATGATTCACTTTGTGCTCATTAAACATGTAATTATTTGAGAACAATTAACCTTGAAAAATAAAAAAAACATGTTTTCTTTTCCATTTGGAATACATTCCATTTTGTTGTTTTTTAATTTGCCAGAAGACGCATGTGCTCACCAGAGAGAGATAAGAGTGAGAGAGAGAGAAAGTGAGAAAGCGCCCTCAATGGGGAATAGTCACATTGCAATCCCTCCTCCTCTATCTCTT